CGGGCGAATACCAGGATGCGGTTCTGTCGGTGTAGCTCCGATCTCAACTTTTTAATCCAGGGGGTGGTTCAAAAAATGGTTCGTTTTGCGATGTCGGTGGTTCAAAAAATGGTTCGTTTTGCGATGTCGGTGGGTTCAAAAAATGGTTCGTTTTGCGATGTCGGTGGTTCAAAAAATGGTTCGTTTTGCGGTTCAAAAAATGGTTCGTTTTGCGATGTCGGTGGTTCAAAAAATGGTTCGTTTTGCGAGGTCGGTGGGTTCAAAAAATGGTTCGTTTTGCGATGTCGGTGGTTCAAAAAATGGTTCGTTTTGCGATGTCGGTGGGTTCAACAAATGGTTCGTTTTGCGATGTCGGTGGTTCCAAAAATGGTTCGTTTTGCGATGTCGGTGGATCAAAAAATGGTTCGTTTTGCGATGTCGGTGGTTCAAAAAATGGTTCGTTTTGCGATGGCGGTTCAAAAAATGGTTCGTTTTGCGATGTCGGTGGTTCAAAAAATGGTTCGTTTTGCGATGTCGGCGGGTTCAAAAAATGGTTCGTTTTGCGATGTCGGTGGGTTCAAAAAATGGTTCGTTTTGCGATGTCGGTGGAGGTTTCAAAAAATTGTCGTTTGCGATGCGGTGGTTCAAAAAATGGTTCGTTTTCCGATGTCGGTGGGTTCAAAAATGGTTCGGTTTTGCGATGTCGGTAGGTTCAAAAAATGTTCTTTTGCGATGTTGGTTCAAAAAATGGTTCGTTTGCGATGTCGGTGGTTCAAAAAAATGGTTCGTTTTTGCGATTCGTGGGTTCAAAAATGGTCGTTTTTGCGATGTCGGATGGTTAAAAAAATGGTTCGTTGTTGCGTTCAAAAAATGGTTCGTTTTGCCGATGTCGGGGTTCAAAAAATGGTTCGTTTTGCGATGTCGGTGGGTTCAACAAATGGTTCGTTTTGCGATGTCGGTGGTTCCAAAAATGGTTCGTTTTGCGATGTCGGTGGATCAATAAATGGTTCGTTTTGCGATGTCGGTGGTTCAACAAATGGTTCGTTTTGCGATGTCGGTGGGTTCAAAAAATGGTTCGTTTTGCGATGTCGGTGGTTCAAAAAATGGTTCGTTTTCAACCCCCTGGATTAAAAAGTGGAGACCGCAGGGGCCGAGGTAGACGTGGTTTGCCTCCCGTTAGGCAGCGGGGCCCCGGGACAATGTTGGATTTGTTGCCAATTCCGGAGTTTCCGGTGCCTCCATCATCCCTTTTAATATTATAAAGGCCAAATGGGGCTCCGACCGGAAAGTGGGATTCTGCCTAGGACTTCCTCAAAAAAAGTTTCCGGTCGCCTTCCAGGGCGACCGGAAATTCGGCCATGCCACCGGAAAGTGGCGATTCCGCGTGGGACTTCCTCAAAAAAATATTCCGGTCCCTTTTGAGGCCGCCAGACAGTGGCGATTTCGCGTGGGACTTCCTCACACATTACTTTTTGTCGCATCTCATGCCACCAGAAAACGACGATTTCGCTTGAGACTTCCTGACATTCGAGTTTCTGGTCTCATGTACGCTCACACAGACGCCGCGGACCTATTCCTCTTCCCATTCTCTCTTCTTATCATCACAGTATTTGATTGTTCCGTGTCGCATGCTTTCCGTGCAAGTCAGATTCCAGTTGCCACAGCCTCGCGCGCGCGGTCCTATCTGCGCCTGGGCGGATGTCCGCAGGGATGGCCGTTGCATCGTTCGGTTCACAGGTTTGTCTTGGAGTCATCTTGAGGCCATCTTGAGGTCGCGTCGGGTCGCAGGCCCCCCTGTGGGAGGTTCGATCCCAGGGTCATTTTGGGGCGACGCGGTTGACCCAGGATGTACGGTCCAGAATCGACGATCCAGGATCGATGATCGAGGATACACTATCGATGACCCAGGACCGACTGTGGAAGAGCGAACCCATATCGATCGGAAACGAGGCTTTGGGTTCCACGGCCGATCAAAGTTCGACAGCCACCTAGCGATTGAGGGTCGGAGATCGAGGGTCGAGGATCCAGGGCCGTTCGGACATCGAGGAGCCAGGATCGAGCGGCCACGATCCGTCGAAGTTCGACGCTGGATGGTTGAGGGTCGGAGATCGAGGGTCGAGGATCCAGGGCCGTTCGGACATCGAGGAGCCAGGATCGAGCGGCCACGATCCGTCGAAGTTCGACGCTGGATGGCCGATCGAAGAGCGACGATCGAGAACCGATGTTCCAGGCTTGATCGAAACTCCAGGCTCCAGAATGCCTGGCCGATCGAACATCCATGATCGAGGTTCGATCGAGGCTCGAGGATCGAGGGCCCCAGATACTTCGAGGGTCGAGGATAGAGGTCCGGTCGAACAGCGACCATCGACTTCCCAGGATCCAGTCCCGATCGAAAGTCGCGGCTCGAAAGCCGAACGACGGACGAATACCAGGATGCGGTTCTTTCGGTGTAGCTCCGATCTCAACTTTTTAATCCAGGGGGTGGTTCAAAAAATGGTTCGTTTTGCGATGTCGGTGGTTCAAAAAATGGTTCGTTTTGCGATGTCGGTGGTTCAAAAAATGGTTCGTTTTGCGATGTCGGTGGTTCAAAAAATGGTTCGTTTTGCGATGTCGGTTCAAAAAATGGTTCGTTTTGCGATGTCGGTGGTTCAAAAAATGGTTCGTTTTGCGATGTCGGTGGGTTCAAAAAATGGTTCGTTTTGCGATGTCGGTGGTTCAAAAAATGGTTCGTTTTGCGATGTCGGTTCAAAAAATGGTTCGTTTTGCGATGTCGGTGGTTCAAAAAATGGTTCGTTTTGCGATGTCGGTGGGTTCAAAAAATGGTTCGTTTTGCGATGTCGGTGGTTCAAAAAATGGTTCGTTTTGCGATGGCGGTTCAAAAAATGGTTCGTTTTGCGATGTCGGTGGTTCAAAAAATGGTTCGTTTTGCGATGTCGGCGGGTTCAAAAAATGGTTCGTTTTGCGATGTCGGTGGTTCAAAAAATGGTTCGTTTTGCGTTTTTGCGATGTCGTGGGTTCAAAAAAATGGTTCGTTTTGCGATGTCGGTGGTTCAAAAAATGGTTCGTTTTGCGATGTCGGTTCAAAAAATGGTTCGTTTTGCGATGTCGGTGGTTCAAAAAATGGTTCGTTTTGCGATGTCGGTGGGTTCAAAAAATGGTTCGTTTTGCGATGTCGGTGGTTCAAAAAATGGTTCGTTTTGCGATGTCGTGGTTCAAAAAATGGTTCGTTTTGCGATGTCGGTGGTTCAAAAAATGGTTCGTTTTGCGATGTCGGTGGTTCAAAAAATGGTTCGTTTTGCGATGTCGGTTCAAAAAAAAAATGGTTCGTTTTGCGATGTCGGTGGTTCAAAAAATGGTTCGTTTTGCGATGTCGGTGGTTCAAAAAATGGTTCGTTTTCAACCCCCTGGATTAAAAAGTGGAGACCGCAGGGGCCGAGGTAGACGTGGTTTGCCTCCCGTTAGGCAGCGGGGCCCCGGGACAATGTTGGATTTGTTGCCAATTCCGGAGTTTCCGGTGCCTCCATCATCCCTTTTAATATTATAAAGGCCAAATGGGGCTCCGACCGGAAAGTGGGATTCTGCCTAGGACTTCCTCAAAAAAAGTTTCCGGTCGCCTTCCAGGGCGACCGGAAATTCTGCCATGCCACCGGAAAGTGGCGATTCCGCGTGGGACTTCCTCAAAAAAATATTCCGGTCCCTTTTGAGGCCGCCAGACAGTGGCGATTTCGCGTGGGACTTCCTCACACATTACTTTTTGTCGCATCTCATGCCACCAGAAAACGACGATTTCGCTTGAGACTTCCTGACATTCGAGTTTCTGGTCTCATGTACGCTCACACAGACGCCGCGGACCTATTCCTCTTCCCACTCTCTCCTCTTATCATCACAGTATTGGATTGTTCCGTGTCGCATGCTCTCCGTGCAAGTCAGATTCCAGTTGCCACAGCCTCGCGCGCGCGGTCCTATCTGCGCCTGGGCGGATGTCCGCAGGGATGGCCGTTGCATCGTTCGGTTCACAGGTTTGTCTTGGAGTCATCTTGAGGCCATCTTGAGGTCGCGTCGGGTCGCAGGCCCCCCTGTGGGAGGTTCGATCCCAGGGTCATTTTGGGGCGACGCGGTTGACCCAGGATGTACGGTCCAGAATCGACGATCCAGGATCGATGATCGAGGATACACGATCGATGACCCAGGACCGACTGTGGAAGAGCGAACCCATATCGATCGGAAACGAGGCTTTGGGTTCCACGGCCGATCAAAGTTCGACAGCCACCTGGCGATTGAGGGTCGGAGATCGAGGGTCGAGGATCCAGGGCCATTCGGACATCGAGGAGCCAGGATCGAGCGGCCACGATCCGTCGAAGTTCGACGCTGGATGGTTGAGGGTCGGAGATCGAGGGTCGAGCATCCAGGGCCGTTCGGACATCGAGGAGCCAGGATCGAGCGGCCACGATCCGTCGAAGTTCGACGCTGGATGGCCGATCGAAGAGCGACGATCGAGAACCGATGTTCCAGGCTTGATCGAAACTCCAGGCTCCAGAATGCCTGGCCGATCGAACATCCATGATCGAGGTTCGATCGAGGCTCGAGGATCGAGGATCGAGGGCCCCAGATACTTCGAGGGTCGAGGATAGAGGTCCGGTCGAACAGCGACCATCGACTTCCCAGGATCCAGTCCCGATCGAAAGTCGCGGCTCGAAAGCCGAACGACGGACGAATAAGGATGCGGTTCTTTCGGTGTAGCTCCGATCTCAACTTTTTAATCCAGGGGGTGGTAGGCAGGGGGATGGGGGCGTCGGAGGTGGAGGGGCGAGGCGGACGTGCTGCGGGTCGGCATGGGGGCGGTAGGGGGGGGGGGGGAGTTCGAGGGGGGGGGGGGAGGAGTTCGAGGGGGGGGGAGGAGTTCGAGGGGGGGGGAGGAGTTCGAGGGGGCGGTAGGGGTGGGGGGAGGAGTTCGAGGGGGGGGGGGGCGCGAGTGCGAAGGCGCGCACGGAAAAGTAGGTGGCCGTCCGTTGTCCCGCGAGGACGGCAAGCACATGACCCTCTTCGCCATCGGGGAGCGCCTGGAGAGGGAGGCGATGACCAATCCTGCCATCGAGGCCTCGGACCCCCCCCCGTCCCCAGCCTATCTTCCTTGTCTGTTTCCTTCTCCCACTATCTCACCGATGTTGCTATATACCGCGGGGAGCCCAGCGACAGTTCGCAGAGACGAGGAAGGAACTGCAACGAGAGAGAGAGAGAGAGACAACAGAAACAGACAACGAGAGAACAAGAGAGAACAAGAGACCAGCCTACGTCGTGATCAACAGTGGCACCTACCACATTGCCTTGATCATCAGAAGCCAAAACACGGCTGATTACTTGACAGCGATATCGAGAGGCCGCTCAGCGCCAGCTCTTTGAAGTCACGTTCGACATGCGAAAGAGAGGCTGGATCTAGAGCGGGCTGAGACAGCGAGCAGGGCTTACCCTGTGGTGCTGGCCTCTATCAGTGCCGGGGGGAGGTCAGAACGCAGGCAATGTGCCTGGAGGCCAGCTGAGAGGAAGCCTTTACACTGGTTGCGACGTTCCTGCCGTCTCCTCCTTGCGCTATTGATGAGCCACAGTGTTGCGCACAGGTGGCCCCCAGAAGTAGTCCCAGGCCCTGGGTTAGTCGAGCAGTCTCGACACCCAACGCCAGCTCAGGTGGTGCGCCCCTCAGGGCGCTCCGTGCCCACGATTGGGGCGTTGATTGATACCTCTTGGCTTGTCGACGCCACGAGGGGCCACCTTGGAGCCGTCTGTGCAGGACTCCAAGCCCTGCGGTGCGTTGGCGTGGCTTCAGTCCATTTGTAAGGAAGGAGGCCGCTGGAGCTGGGCTTCGGTGGGGCGTGCGAAGGCTGCACGCGGCGGCACTCGAAACAATTTGAGGATCAGGCGTGGGCCTTCTGTGGGGCCATTAGCATCCAACGAGCGTTGCAGGCTCTTTCATCTCAGTGCCCTATGAGATTGCGCTGACCGTGATACGGTAGACCATGTTAGCAGTTTTGGCGATCCCGATCAATATCCCAACGAGATCCCGGCTATTCGGATGCGACTCCGAATGGTATGATGTCCAGAGCCGAGATCCGTTGAAGTCTTGAGCATGTCCGACGTGGCCCTCATACGACCTGCCGAACTCCTGCCACCGGCGGTGACCCACGGGATCGCCCTGGTGGATCGCCCGTGGGCGATCGTCGGTCGCGGATCGTCCGCGGCGTGTCCCTCCACAAGCGGATCCCACGAAGAACTGCACCGAGTGAGAAGTGTGGGGGGCACTGCTCCTCGTCGAGTCGCGCCCTCCCCTCTGCCCTTCCTTCCCCCTCTCCAAAATACCTGCGCGAGGAAAGAAATCACCACCCACCAAACCACCCCAACCCAACCCGAAGGCTCAGATTAACCCTCGATTTCCAGTGGCGGGGGGGGGGGGTCGGGAAACATCGAAAAAACACATATGGAGCCCAGACCCCCCCCAACCCGAAGTTCGGGTCTTCGGGTTGGGTTGGGGTGGTCTGGTAGGTAGTCAAGAGAGAAACAAAAGCAAGCGGATCCCACGATGGCTCGCCTGCCGGATCGCCCGCGGGCTCGTCGTCGCCCCGGGCGTGGCGGGGACCGCGCGCCCTCCTCGGCCCCCCGGGCTCTCCGCGCGCCGACCCACCCCGCCGCGCGCGCCATCCCCGGCCCCGGATGTGCTTTTCCGTGGGCCCTCTGCGGGGAGCAGCCGTGCGCGGGCAGTGCTTCGGCGTGGGCGTGCGAAAGGGGGGGATTGGGAAAGGGGGGGTTAAAACGACGCGAAGATCGGGACAAAATCGGATCGGGATAACTCGAAATCTCTGAGAATCGGCGGGTTTGGAGGATGTATTGGGCGCCGCGGCCGCTCCAAAGCGTTCCGGAACGCTCTGAGAGCGCTACGGAACGCTCTGGAGCGATTTATCCCGATCCTAGCCCTGTTTTAGGGGTTACTCTGGACGCCCGAAATGGGTACTGAAAGAATGGGTACTATGCCCAACAGCGGATCTGGTTCATCTTGAGCCAGATCCGCTGTCCACGCCGCCGCGGCTTGTGTCCATTCGAGACAGAAGGCCGCCCGCCCAACAGCGGCCGCTGTTGGTTTGGGGCAACATTTGTTGTTGGGCATCGTACCCATTTTTTCGGTACCCATGTCGGGCGTCCAAAGTTACGAAATCTGCTGCATGCAGCTGGTTTCAGCCTCACCGAGGGGCCCATTCCTCGATACATGGCCGCCTCCGGCGCCGGGAGGCGCCGGGAAAATCAGCTGCGTGAGCTGATTCTCAAACCCCCCCTTTGCTATCCCCCCCTTTCGCCCGACCCGAGCTTCGGCGTGGGCGGCGGGGAAGGGCGGAGAGCAGCTCGGGGAAGGTCGATTGGGGAGTCCCAGCAGCCCTCGGGGCGCGAGTGGTTTGGAGCGCCTCCTCGTTCCTCTTCCAGGGGAACAAAAAGTGTCACAAACGTAAAAACTCGGAGGTCCGCGCGGATTTCTCGGATCGGCGCTGGGACCCCCCTCCCTGGCGCGCGGAGCGCGCCAGGGGCGGCGCTGGAGGCGCCGCTGGGGGATCCCAACGCCGATCCGAGAAATCCGCGCGGACCTCCGAGTTTTTAGGTTTATGCCACTTTTTGTTCCCCTATCTTCCCCGTCTTCCCCTCGGTGGGTCGTCTGTCATTGCTCCTCGCTCGTGTGTGCGCCCCCTCCCCCTCCCGACCCAGCGACAACCAGGGACCCTGCGGGCCCTCCCGCCGTCCCTGGTAAAGATGCACTCGGCGCGGAGGTCCCCATGATACATATGTGCATCTCATTCCCTGGCAGCTCCAGCTGTGAGCGACGGACTGTGAGGGCGACGGGGGCCTGGGGCAGGGGACGGGGCGGGGGACCAGCGGTGAGGAGGAGCAGTTGTTCTACTTCCGTCTCCTATTCTGTTTTCAGCGCTTCAACCGGGCACGACGTGACGGGGAAATTGACGACACGAGGTAGCGGTTTCACAAAGAGAATCCCCACACACAGCGACCGAATGGCGAGATGCCGCTCTGAACCAAGCAATTGAAGAACAAGCAAATCTGTTGGAGAAGGGCCCAACCATGTGCAGCTGTGAGGACCGCATTATGGGTACCGCTTCGGTGGAGCTCCCTATGGGGCCACGAAGCGTGTGAGGGGTGCGCCGAAATTGGCTGGATGTGCCATGCGATCTTTGCCACCTGGGCCTTCGGTGGAGCTGCCTGTGGAGCCACGGAACATGTGAGGAATATGCCGAAATGGGTCGGGGCCGCCATGCGAACTTTGCCAGAGGGGCCTTCGTTGGAGCTCCCTGTTGGGCCACGAAACGTGTCAGGGGTGCGCCGAAACATGGCGTGGCCGCAATGCGACCTGTGCAACTGAAGCCTTCGGCAGGGCTTCCTATGAGACCACGAAACGTGTGAGGGGTGGCGCTGAAATGGAGCGGGGCCGCCATGCGTACTTTGCGCCACAAGGGGTTTTCGGTGGAGATTCCTTGTGTGGCGACGAATCGTGGAATGGGTGCGCCGTGACAAGGCGGGGCCGACATGTGAACTTTGCCACCTGGGGCCTCCAGTGGAGCTCTCTGTGGGGCCCCCAAGCGCGTGAGGGCTGCGCCGAAATGAAGCGGGACCGCCACGCGAATTTTGCCGTTGGGGCCTTCGGTGGAGATCCCTGTGGGGCGCGCTGAAATGGAGCGGGGCCGCCACGCGAACTTGGCAACTGAGGTCTTCGGTGGAGGTGAGGGGTGGCCGAAGTAGAGCTGGGCCGCCATGCGACTTTTGCCAAATGGCCTTCGGTGGAGATGCCCGTGGGGGGACGAGGCGTCTGAGGGGTGCGCCAGAATGGGGCGGGGCGGCCAAGCGATTTTTGCCACAGAGGCCTTCAGTGGAGCCGTGGGCCGACGAGACGTGTGAGGGCTGCGCCGAAATTGAGCGGGGCCGCCACACGAACTTTGCAACTGAGGCCCTCGGTGGAGGTGAGGGGTAGCCGAAATGAGGCGGTGCCACCATGCGACTTTTCCGACTTCGGCCTTCGGTGGAGATGCCCGTGGGGGGACGAAACGTGTGAGGGGTGCGCCAGATTGAGGCGGGCCGCCATGCGTAGTTTGCCACTGGGGCCTTCGGTGGAGCTCCCTGTGGGGCGACGAAACGTACGAGGGTTGCGCCGAAATAGGGCGGGGCCGCCATTCGAACTTTGCCACTGGGGCCTTCGCTGGAGATCCTTCTGAGGCTACGAGACGTGTGAGGGGTGCGCCGAACTAGGGCGGGGCCGCCAAGCGAGCTCTGCGACTGTGAGCTTCGGTGGACTGTGCCGCACGCGCCCGCAGGGTGCCTCCACGGAGGCCTGCCAAGGGCGCCCGCGGTGCAGCAGCGGCGAACGAAGCTCCGCGCAAAGGCGCCGGCGCGGCGGGTCAGCCGCTGCACCGGTGCATGCGGGGCACGGCTGATGGAGGCGTGGCGCTGGGCTCCCGCGGGCACCTTGGCGCCCTAGACCCCAATGCCAGGATATGCCCCGAGGGGCGCGGCACCGCGCGCCATCGGCCAGGGAAGATGCCTGCGGGAGGGGGGAAGGACCAGGGCAGCCCGTACCCCAAAGGGCTCGTTTTGCGGCGGAGTGGCCGGCACCCAGTGCCACTCCCGCCCCACCGAGCACGGGCTCGCCTGGCGCTGGCGCTGGTGGCTTTCTCGTCCACGGCGTTTGCTTGATGAGTGGTGCTGAGTGGGGGTAGCGGTGGCGGCGAGGGATTGCTGCCAGCGTGCCGAAAATTGGAGTGAGCGTGCTGCGTGACGCAGCAGGCATGCCGTTGGCAAAGGGATCGTCATCATCGTTTGATGCCGCCGGTGCCGCTCCCACTCGGGCACCAGGCTCAAGTTTGTTTCTCAACGCCGAGCTGTTGGCCTGTAAATCTGCGGCGTTGAAAAAAAACACGTATGGATCGACTGGCCCCACAGATCTGCGCGGGCTTCTTCTCCTGTGCCCTTGCTCCTGCTTTGCCTTTTCCCTTCTCCCGCGCATGTGGCTCGTGGTTTTTCTGGGCCGAGCTGGCCCACCCAGTTGGCCCAAGATTTTCCCCTCCCGCCCTTCTTGGGTGGCAGCTTCCATTGTCGCAGGACAGCCTATAGAGCGATCCGCAGCGGCGGAGGCCCGGTGCCGGCGCCGCGAAGGCGCTGGAGCGAGCGTGCGGCGTGACGCAGCCGGCATGCCGTTGGCAGAACGAGTTTTATCATCGCGCGATGTCGCCAGCGCCGCTCCCATTCGAGCGCCAGGCTCGAGACTGTCTGTCGGTGCTGAGCTGCTGGCGAGCGTATCTAAAATTGGGAGCGGGGGCAGCGGGGGGACGGGAACGGCAGGGCGGGGAGGAGGGAATATGCACGCAGGGCAGGGGATGGGGAGGGAAGGAGGGCGGGGATGGGGATGATCATGGGCATGGAGATAGGGAGGAAGGGTGGCAGGGAACGCGCGGAGGGTGATGTCGCGCCTTCGCCCGCTGCGTCCACCCTTTCAGCCCTTGTTGCCGAGTCGTGACCCTTGCATTCCGAGGCCGCCATGAAACCCTGCGAGCTCCGCGCGCACGCACGCGCCCCTCCAGAGGTGAAGGAGTCCGATCAGAGGGACTACTTCGAGATCAGGGGCCGGGGGGAGATGCAGCTCGGTATCCTTATCGAGGAACCGTGGCGTTCCAAAGGTGGGGGGGCAGGGATCTGCTGCGTGTTGCTGTTTTGACGTTGGTTGGGGCGTCCGGGGGCCGTTGTCGCTCCCGTGCCATAGCTAGTTCATCACCGGGGACGTCTGCATTACCACGACAATTCTGTTTGTTTTCCAAGCGTTGTGTTGTCCCGCGCCCGATTTGCTTCGAGCACCAACATCCAAGAAGTCCGCTGCCCAGCACCAGTCGGCAGCAATCCGAAAGACAACGCGGAACTGCGTGTTTTGTTCCGGGAATTGCGTTTGCGCATGAGTAGGCCCATGTGTGGGAGTACCGATGGGAAGTCACATGCGCTTAAATATGCGCTGTGTTCTATGCAATGTTCGTTTTGCAGGCATTGTTGTGCAATGTTGGGATATGGAACGAGCAAACCGGGAGATGTGGTATAGTTTGGTTGCTCAATCCAATCTGGGCAATCTTGGCTGCGAGGTCTGACCTGATCAAGCTAGGACATTTGTTTGTGGCAGCCAAAGCTGGTCAGGGTAACGTTCGAGAGGACACAAGGATGGTGGTTGGAGATGAAGCTGGTGCTGGAGCTGGGCTGGAGCTGGAGCTGCAAGTGGGGCCGAGCTGGAGCTGGGCAGGAGCTTGGGATGGAGCTGGCTGCGCCTGGGGTGGAACCGGACCTTAGGAATATATTTGGAACTGGTACTTGACCTGGTGGAACAGAGGTGTAGCTGGGGCGGCTGGAGCTGAGGCTGGATCTGGAGGTGGGGCTGAAGCTTGGGCTGAAACAAGGCTGTAGCTGGAGCTGTGAGGTGGAGCCCCAGCTGGGGCTGGCAGCCCAACTCCAGCTCGAGCTGCAACCCTGCTCCATGTCTAGCCCATTTTCATCCCCTGCCCAGCCCCAGTGCCAACTCCAGCTCCTGCCCAGATCGTGCCCAGCTCCAGCCCCAGCTCTAGCTTGCTCGAGCTCAGCTGCGGCCCCAGCTCCAGCTGCAGCCGAGCTACTTCCCAGCTCGAGCTTCAGCTCTGCTAGAGCTGGGCTGGAGCTGGATCTGGGGATTGGGCTGGGACTGAGGTTGGAACTAGGGCTGGAGCTGGAGCGAGGCTGGAGCTGGAGCTGGGACTGGACCCAAGCTGGGGTAGGACCTGGGGCTGGAGCTGATGGTGGATCTGGGGATGGAGCGAAGCTGGGGCTGGGGCTGGGGCTGGGGCTGAGACTGGATTCCGAGGTGGAGCTTGAGCTGTAGCTTGAGCTGAAGCTTGGGTTGGAGGTGAGGTCGGAGCTAGAGCTGGAGCTGGGACTCCAGCGGGGGCTGGAATAGGGACTGGAGTTGGAGCTGTGGAGTGGAGTTGGAATAAGCGTTTCTTGGTTTTGAGACATGCAGTTGTATTTTCAATGGCAGCTCTTCGGGTCTGCAGTCGTCTTCGCTAGTTGGATGTCGCCGTCCCCCCGAAGGAGATGCGACGGGAGGGCTACGAGATGACGCTCTCGCCTCCGACGGTGGTGAAGAGGCGCCAATGATCTTCCCTTGGCCGCCTCGTCTCCAGCTTCGGGCGCGAAGCACCGCCCACCCCTCCCCTCCCACTTCCATCTCCGAGAGAGGAGAAGGATGAAAAATAAGAGGAGGCTGACCGGAACCCAAGATGTATCAACGATTCTGCAATGTAGTTCCCTCCCAAGTCCCATCGTCGACAGTCCCTACCGCATTGTTTTTCATTGCGCGAATAACTCCCCTTCAAACACGACCGCCCGAAATTCAGGTGGAACGGAACTCCGTTTTGAAACAAACGTCCCTCAACCCTTCAAGTTGATAAGGAATGCGGCAAAGTGAGATCTTACCGTTAGAATAAGTGTCATCGGCCGCCCCGCCTTTTATTTTGACTGCCCGTCCATCGCTTTCAAGCGAGGGCTCCTTTTTTAAAGAAAGCAGCCGCGCTCCGAATGTTGTGCATCAGTTGCACAATTTCGGCACGCCCTTCATACATCATATATGTCTCTGCATGTACGCATTTATTTCCTGTACGCACACACGCATGGTGGCAACGGGGGAGTCGCTTGCAGTTTGTGCAGAGTGGCAGCGACGGCACTGCAAGACTTTTCAACGCATTGACTCTATCCACGCTCAGCTAAGTCGCTCAGTTCTTCCCGCTCGAAGCCAGAATCGCTCGCCGCGAACTTCTAGATCTTCCACAAGATGCCCAGCTTGCCGCCGAATGCATTTGGCAGTGTCGGCCTGCTCGCGATAGCGTATCGTGTTCGCCTCCTGTCATCCGCTCTGTTCAAGTCCCTACTGCAGCTGCCGCCATGCGCCCTGCCGTGTTCGCGCGCCTTGGAGATTGGGAGCCTTTTCGCGACCGTCTTCGAGACACCGTCTTCGCGACCGTCTTCGCGACCTGCCGAAGCTGGGCCGGGGTCTCCCCCGTTCTGGGACGAGACCAGGGCAGTCGTGCGGTCGCGAGGCAGAGCTGCTCACCTTTTGTTTCTGCTGCGGCCGTGGCCGCGGCAGCCCGCGCTGCTGCCCGCGAAGTTCGCGGTGCTCCCTGCAGCCGACCCGCCGTGCCGTGCCGAGGGGCAGCGGACCATCGCGCAGTCTCTCTGCAAGGCCGCGTTCTCGTTGCCGCTTGCAGTCGCACTCTGCACGCGCATCGACGCTTGGGGCATCGCGCCCCCCGCCGCTCGCAGAGCTCTCCGGCCGTCGGTCTGTCCTCAGCTCAGCTCCTGGCGAAGTCCGTCCCAGTTGGCGCTGGGCAGCTTTCAAGACGCTCGCAGGCGGGTGGACAATTACGCTCCGCATGCACGTGCTCACTCAGAGGCCATGCGTCTTCGGTTGCACTGGCGCGCCAGATTCATTTCCCCACTGCCTCTCCTGCCCCGTCCTCGTGAGCCTCTTTGGTCCCCTGCCTCGCTTCCAGTCCTCAGCACGCTCACTAAGTGGGCCTCGGGAGCTGCAGCTGCCTCCCCGCCTGACCCTGCCAGCGACCTGTCGCTGCGGCGGGCGATCCAGGGGAGGGCGCTCGCCTTCAACATTTACAGCGAAATGGAAAAGTCCGCCGCGCCGACGCCAGGCGCAATCGCGCCCGCGCTCGGTGCAGACCGTTCCGTATTGCGGTGGTGCACCGCATGTCTTCCAGCGCGGCAGACACGCTGCGTGCGTCAGTGGCGTCGATGCGCCGCCGAGGTAGGAAGGGCGAGTTCGCCTCAAGCCACTCGCGCTCCTCCTCCTCCTCCTCCTCCTCCTCCTGTTCCTCCTCCTCCTCCTCCTCCTGTGCCCCTAGCTGTAGGATGCACGATGGAGGTTGCGGCTAGACATACCTCCAGAATTGCCGAGCTGGTGGCAGAGTCGGCGACGATCGCTGCAGCAGGCTGTGCAACATGCTTCGGGGTATTGATAGGGCCAGCCGTTACCCGGTCGCATCAATTGCACGAGGCTGGACAGAAATGGTGGGCACGCGCCAGAACGAAAACGATGTCCTGAGCCCCCAGCGAAGCGGCCATCCGACTATATGAATGCACTTGCTTGTCGGTGTTCGGGTAGTTGGCCCATGTTTTTTTTGTGCGAAGAGATCTGGCGCAAATAATACAACGGTCTCTACAAGCTCCTTCGCCTCCTTCCCAGCACGTTTGCCCTGCACGATACCCTGTGCATCAGAAGCAGGTGTAAGACTGCGACATCCACCAGTGTACGAATCGCTGCTCTAGCTACTGCATGGACTGCCTGCTTGTGCACTCTCCAAAGATTGGAAACGACGTTGAGTGGTGGCGAAAGGGAGCGGACTTGCACGGCTCTCACATGAAAGTGGTACAGCAGGTTCTCGTCGGCGTTTTGCTGGAACAACACGTCTGGCAATCTCCGGTACTGTCGCGAGTTCTCCACCTCTTGTGATCTCGCGTGCCCTGCATCCTTTCTTCCTGCTGCCTGCGCGGCTGCCAGAGCCGTCATCCCGACGTCCGCCGCCGCCGCCCTGCCATGGGAGACCAGGCTGCGTCGGCTGGGCATTCTGCGTGGACGCGCACCACCAGTGGGGGAGGGCGCGGGCGAGGGACGTCGTCGCCGACGCGAAAGAAGGAAGAGACCCCGGGCAGTTTTCATCCAGGCGCGCACTGCCAACGCATATCCAGACATATTCCACGAACTTGTCTTCAGACGATTTCGCACGTGGTGTCTAGGAGAAGAGTTGCCTCATTTGGCATCCGTGCGTACTCGCTAGCTTGTGCTCCGTGCGGTGCTAGCCAAGTCAGCCCCTGCAAAGGTCTGGGCCCGCTTGAAAATCTTAACCGGGGGGGTGATCACCAGCCATAGGGTTAAGATCCTCTCCCCATTGCTGTGCGCGTTTAGATGTCTTGGTTGTCCTCCTGCCCCCGCCTGCTTTATCAAGTCGCTCTGCCCCGCCTTTTTATCCCGACCGCTCCCCCTTTCCTATGGTATGGCCGAGGGACGGAGAAATAGTATCAAGACGCTGACTTGTCTGCGAATGTAGCCCATGATCTTGTCGCTTTCGCGTATTCGATTCGATCTTCCATGCGCCCCGTGCCGAGTTGATTGAAGCCCCACATCACATCGGCAGCTTTACCGTTCAACGTTCCATCCGCCATGCGGCGCTCACGGGGCACTTGGCTCGCCAAGGGGCGTGCGTTCCTCCTCCTCCTCCTTCTCCTCCTTCTCCTCCCCCCCTCCTCCTCTTCCTCCTTCCACGTTCTTCATCTCACTCCTCCTGCGCCCCCTTTCTCATGCGAGTCAGTATTCTCCTGGTCCGATTCCTCCTCGACGGTTGCCTCCTCCTCTTCCTCCTCATCCTTCTCCTCATCTTTTACCTCTTCGCATCGCACTATTCCTTTTTACGTTTCCTTCTGTTCTTCCTGCTCGCCGCGATCCTATTGGCATCTTTCGTGGTCCACTTCGCGTTCCGCGTCCACCTCTTCTTCGAAATGTTTCTCCTCCTCCTGATCCTCCTCCTCCTCCTCCGCCTCCTCCTCGCACTGTTCCTCCTGTTCCTCCTCCTCATTATCCCCGTAACTTTCCTCCTTTTCCTTCTCGTCCACCCTCTTCCCCGCTTCGCCCGCCACGCCAAGGATGCCGTCGCACTTTGCTCACAGGAGGGAGGTCATCTCCCCGGTGGATGCCCTCGCACGGGTCGTTTGGGCCTGGTTTCGCGTTCTCTCGTTAATTATTCATCTTTCAGGAGGGGAAGAAACACACAGACACAATTAGTCGTCGATTCCCCGAAAATATAGGAAAATATGGGAAGTGGGGGGGAAGACAGAAACCCAGAAAATATGGGAAAATATGGGGAATATTCTTATTTGTGTGTATTTATGTGTGTGTCCTGGGGCCCCTTCAATATTCTCTTTCCCCCTTTTCTTGCCTTGTCTTGCCTTCTCGCTGTGTGTCGCGCTCTCGTTCGGGGCGCCTCCACGATCTGCTCTCTCAAGCATGGCCCTCCCCCCAGAAACCTTTTTTTGTCTGGCATGCGCGAGGGAATCTCGCTCGTGCCTCAGCGCTATATGCCTCCTCCATCGGGCCTTTCGTCGCACAGCTCGACAACAAAGGTGTAAGCAGATGGTTCGTAGGTTCGCTTGGGCCTGACCCATCGTTCCGACGTTGATTCGGGCGAAGCGGTCGCGCGAAGCATGTCGGAGCCCAAGTATGCGAGGATGCTTCAGTGTAGACAGGCTAGAGCACCTGGCAGTATTTTGGAAGTCCGACTTGCCAGGATGTTTCAAGCAAAACGGGCTAGATCACCCCGCGCACGAGTTGCAAGGATGTCTCATGCGAAACAGGCTGGACCACCTTCGCGCGGCATCTCGTGCCTCGGTCCGACGACGACGACCTCCCTGTCGTGACCCAGAGTTCCGAGGATGCGTCGGGCGAAACGTGCAGGACCACCTCGCGCGCAGCATGTCGAAGCCCGCAGTTGCGACGATGTCTCGGGCGAAACGGGCTGGACCACCCCGCGCGCGGCGTCTTCGAGCCGTGAGATTCGAGGATGTGTCATCTGATCCAGGCCAGACCACCTCTCGCGCAGCCTCTGGGAGCTCAGGGTTGCAGGGATGCCTGCGGCGAAGCGGGCTGGACCGTGTCGCGCGCGGCGTCTCGGAGCTCCGAGTTGTGAGGATGTTTCCGGCGAAGCGCTTCAGACCACCTCGCGCGCGGCATTTTGGGAGCCCGGAGGCGAGGCTGTCTCCTGCGAAGGGGGCTGGGCCACTCTGCGCGGAGCACCTCGCAGCCCAGAGCAGCGAGGAGAGCTCGGGCGGAGCGGGGGCCACCTCGCGCGCGCGCGACGTGAGGGAGCTCGGAGCTGTCTGGGTGGATCAGGCCGTGCCCAGACCCATCTCACAACGCAACCCGAAAACAGCAGTGTAATCCTCCGTCCTCCCTCCTCTTCCCTTCGGGGGCCCTCAGTCTCGAGGATGTCTCGGGCGAAGCGCGCCCGACCACCTCGCGCGCAGCACGTCGGAGCCCAGAGTTGCGGGGATGTCTCCGGCGAAACGGGCCAGACCACCTCGCGAGACGCGTCTTGGAG